CGGGATGAATAAAATCTATCTATCTATCTATCTATCTATCTATCTATCTATCTATCTATTACAGGTGTATCAGCTGACTCAGTGGTCATTCCCTGTATATTTATATAATATTTAAGGTTATTATATACAATTCTCTGTTAATATTAGGTATTTTTATTATTATTTTTTAACAATCATGCATACTTAATATGCTTCTTTTTCATGACAAACTTAGTATTTTCTCCCCTTATTGTTCTATTGGCTCTTTGGTTGTTTTAACTGTAACTATTTTTCTGTCTGAATATAGCTTGTGTCCAGGTTAAATCTAAACTTTCGTAACAATTTAGTTTAGTTTTCTTCCCAAACGTGAATGAAATGTTGGGATATAGGCCTCTTTTATATCGATTTTTAAAGTTTTCTTACACCCCTTAATATCAAGAAGGCCTTGTGACTCCTAGTGAACTAACTAATGGTTAACCACTACTTTCTTTCCCTAACTTAGAAAACTTGAAAAACGTATTAAAAAGGATGTTAAATTTGTCCGGGTCTGTACAAACTAACATGTTTTCTTATATCTGGAGATTTGTAGGCCAGGACATCTCTGCAAAACTACAATACAATACTGACACAATTTAGATTTTGATTAATTGTGCAGCCCTTCTTACTTATCAGACTTTATTAAACCCCAGAGGTGACACATCCTGAGTGATATAACATCCTGGTTGTTGTTCCGGTTGTGTCAAATGAATCGGATTACGTTTTGAAATTCACTTTTGTAATGATTTATAAAGCTATCCAACTTAAAAACCTTAAAATAAAAGGGAAACCTGGTAATGACTGGAAACATTGCGGCATGTTTACAATGTCATGTAATCTCCTAGCGGCTCAAGAACATCTGAAACTATCTGCAGCTGCTTGTTAGTAAAAACTCAGCACATAAAAAACAAAATACATAGTTTCCCTGTTGTTATTTTTTATTCTATGTTGATATTATTCACAATTTTTCAACCACAGGTGTTTTCAAATGTGGGTGAAAGTGTGAGCACAATAATAACAATAATTTCCTAATTAGATAAGTAATAAACAAATATTTAGGACAATAAACCCAATTTTCCATCAGAACATCATCAAAAAAAGATCAAGTATCGTAAATATTCTTGGAAAAAGAAGTATTCTTAGCAAATCAGTTCTTAAATATTAATTAAATAATGAATAAGCAGACCTCCAGACGTTGCTGGATGCCACACGAAGCAGTGTGTCTTTATTTTTTTTGTCTTAAATGTCTCCAACATCCGTTTTAAGAAATGTAAATGAATGTCGGATTAACTAACTGTGCCATCCTGTTGTCTAGATACATTCTATCCATTGAAAAAGCTGAAGAGATCGAGGAGTACGTGGGAGACCTCCTGCAGGGCACAGATGGGAGGAAAGGGATGTTCATAGATGAGCTGCTCGTCAGGTGGAAGAAGACTCAACGACAGGCCGCAGATAACCCAAGTCTTTTCCTTCTCAAGGAATCCGTCTCATCGGCAGGTAAATAAATAAATAAATAAATGACGTCTGAATATATTTGTATAAATATATAAATAGACTGCACGGCTCAGCAGCACTTTATCATGGTTACTGTTTACTGCTTTTAATGAACAGATGCTGTTTGTTAACTGTTGTGATTAATGCCCCATTGTATGTTGTGTTTGTGCCCTCTTCTGTAAATCATAATCATATATTTTCCTATTAAATTCCTCCCAGCTATAAACAACCTTCTGTAAAACTACTATGCAAAGAACTTGGACATGACAAACATTGTAAATAAATATAAATACCAACGATTAAATGTCTTATGAATGGAGATGTAATAAACTAGTATCATAATTCATCATTTCTCCCAGATGCACATATATACTATTTGTTGAAGGTCAACTGCTCACCTTTCCTAGATTCACAAGACATGACCAAAGATACCCAGAAGAAGTCTAAACGAAAGGGCCGTAACAAACAAGAAGTGATGACTGTGAGCCAAACAGAACCTGAGCCAGAGGCAGTCAAAACCCCCATTGATCTGATGAGGGTGAGTACACGTCGGCCTGAACATTTGTTCTCATATCACCAACTTCATGGAGGTAATTCTCATGGTGACAGTGAGACATTAAGTTTATTTGTAGATCATTCATTACGTTGTTATTGTATCTGTTTCTCTCTTTATTTACTTTCTCAGGCCCAAGAAAACACGAGTGCTCCTTCAACGAAGAAGAAAAATAAGTTTGTCAGTCTCTATAATAAAGAGGGACAGGACAGGCTGGCTGTCTTACTCCCAGGTCGATATGCCTGCGAGTGCCTTGCCCAAAAGCACAAACTTATCAACAACTGCATCAGCTGTGGTCACATTGTGTGTGAGCAGGAGGGCTCGGGACCCTGCCTCTTCTGCGGCAGCCTGGTACGCAGGTCTTCTGATTCATTAGATTAAATTTTTTTTAATTTGACCTACTTGAGTCTGTCACTACATTATTACAGTGATACTATTGCAATATTTATAGAATAAGTCAACTTTATCCTTAACTGTGATTGTGTGTTTTGTCTCTGTTTTGGAGAGAGAGTCTGTAAGCAGAACTGTACAAAAAGAACAACAAAAAAACAAGAACAACAAAAAAACACACAAAAACAACAGTGAAAAGAAAGAGACACTGTATTATTAACATGATCTCAATATATAATTCTTTAAAAAGATTACAGTTATCATCAATATTGCCACACCCTACTGCTGACAAACCTTATTTTTCTTAGTATTAGTATTATTTTCTCTTCTCTGACTCAGGTCTGCACAAGAGAGGAGCAGGAGATCTTGCAACGAGACTCCAACAAAAGCCAGAAACTAAGAAAGAAGCTTATGGGAGGTGAGAGTCAAATTTAGACAGAATTATTAAGTACTAAAATCTATGACATAACGACGTGGGTTGATGTTATGAATTTGTTTTTATTTTGGTGACAGACTGTGGAGAAAGAGATTATCTCCCACACCAGGAGGCCATAATGAAGGCTGGCTTGGAGAAGGCTGTCCAGCACAAGGACAAACTGCTGGAATATGACAAGAACAGGTATCATTAAAACACACAGTGAAGAAAAAAAGAGCAGATAGGTTTACTGCTTGGTGTGCCATGTCAGCACTTTAACGGGACATTTCGATTTCTGTAGGTAATCATGAAACTGGGTGATAACACTAACCTATTTATTTACTGTCCCCTTCAACTCCAGTGTCAGGAGAACGCAGGTTCTGGACGATGAGTCCGATTACTTTGCTACTGAATCCAATCAGTGGTTATCACCTGGTGAGCGAGAGAAGCTGAGGAAAAAGGAAGAGGAGCTTAGAGAACTTCGCCATGCCTCTCGCAAGGACAGGAAGATCACATTGGACTTTGCTGGTAGACAAGTGATTGATGAGGGAAAGAACCTCAACGAGTACTACAACAAGTAAGATAATCTGACACCACCTGGATCAAGGCCGCAAGGGCAGATTTATGTTGTGTAGTCATCCTGAAAGCCTCCTTTTGAAATTTTGCAATAATTTGCAGGTTGGATGAGACCCTCAAGGCTATGGGCAGTGACTCTACGCCAAAATCACCAATGTACTCTCAAAGACAAGGTGGAGGGCAGGGCAACAGAGAGCTGGTCAATCCCAACATATTGCAGTCTGCACCAGAGGTAGGTCGTAACAATGGCGGCATCTCCTGGTACATTTTCAACACTACAACACAAGTGTTTAGACTTTAGACTAGTCATTTGTACCATTATTAAACTTATGTGGAACATCAGTAAAATGGGTAGAAACTGACAGCTGACAGTTGTTTCTCCCTCCTTAGTTTGCAATGTACTTTTTATCCATCCTGGAAACTGTGTAGATGGTGATAATAATGTCATAATGATGACAATGAATGTACTTTCTAGTGGGTGGATGTCGGAGGCAAAGAGAACTATAAGAGAAAAATGGAGCAGGGAAAGAGTGCGGCGGAGGACAAGAAAGGAGAAGAACGTTCCAGGTTGAGGCTCCAGGACAAAGAGCTGCAGGAGATGTCTGACGGGGGGTGGTGCCTCAGCATGCACCAACCGTGGGCTTCGCTACTGGTCAGAGGCATCAAGAGGTACGGAGCAAACAAAACCCCAAATGAGCTTTGAAACTAAATCACTCTTAGGGAGTCTTGTTTTCTGTCAGGCCAGTGAAAGCAGCAGTAACATTGCATTTTTTTTCCCATGTGTGTAGGGTAGAGGGGCGAACTTGGTACACATCCCACCGGGGTCGTCTTTGGATTGCTGCTGCAGCCAAGACACCGACCCCCCAGGAGACTGCTGAGGTGGAAGCCATGTACCGCCACATCTACAAGAAAGGTAAACATAGACAGCAAACCAGTAAATAAGACAAATAAATACTGGAGGTGATTTGCTTCAGGCTTGTTTACATGTTTCATATACAGCATTTTAAATGAAGTGCACACATTCTAGACTGGTACGATGCTTGTAGTTGTGCTTGTTAGTGGGTCTTTGATTGCTCTCATTTTCTGTGCAGAGCCCAGGTTTCCCAAAGAATACCCCACCGGCTGCTTGTTGGGCTGCGTCAACGTGACTGACTGCCTGTCTCAGGAGCAGTTCAAACAACAGGTCGGTAAAACATAAGAGCATACCAGAGTTTAATGCCAGTAGTAAATTTTACTTATAGAGATGTTAGTGGCAGAGTAAATCACAAAACTCATCAACCAAAGACTTAAGTGCTATTATTTTAATCAGAGCATGTTGTTACAACCTTCAATAGGTGTAAAGGAAAGTAAGGCTTGAATATAAGTGTGAAATGATGCTTTGTGAAGTGACTTGGAGGTTTTATTTGTTAAGTTGAGTCTCAGTGTTTCGTTGTTTTATGATTCAAGTACAGATTGTAACAGGTGAAAATGTGTGATTCGCCTTTGGTTGACTTAGTGGACTGTTTGATTCTGTTGCTGTTTTTGCTGATATTCTGTGTTGAGTGCTGGATCTCTTTTCCCATCCTCCTCCTCCTTTTGGCTGTTATAGTCCTTCTGCCCTTGGAGGCTATACTTACTTGCAGTACACAACAACAAAAAAAGGCACCTAACTTAAATAATTGAATACATTTTGTCTCATCCTGTAATAGTATTGGAACTGTAGTTGAGTTCAGAGGCAGTAAAACAACATCCTGGAAATTTTGACACAAAGACCTCTTGGACATTGCATTGTGATTTTATAGATATCCAGAGACTTGATTCATCCAAGATCACACAACACTAATACACTGTCAAACAATGTTTTAACATCTTAATGGCTCTCCAGACAAAAAAACACTCTTTTGTTTTTCAATCATTGTGAATGTGGTTGCTTGGAGAAGTTAAAATCTGGACAGTTGTTTGTGTTAAGAGGACGATAATTCTTCCAAAACCTTCTTTCTTGTATTTCTTGGAGCTTTTACTAAGATATGCTGTATTTGACCATGCATACTGTGTCCTGTGTACAACTGCTGCAATATAATCTCTTACCAGCAGATGTCAGACTGCACCTTTTCACCAGAAACTCTCTGCCAGTTTACAGTATTTCCCACTAGAGACAGTATGCACCACAGGAATTACCACTGAAACACAAATCCAAGCCCTCATTGTAGTTACCTCCCACTAATATATATACACACACACACACACACACACATATATTACATTGGCATCAGCCCATTGTGTTTGCAGCATGCTTTCAGAGCAATTATTTTGTCCTACAGCTCCAGAAGACATGAATAGCAAAGAGCGCCCTCTGATTACTGATATAACAATAGAGTGCAATGCTGCTTTCTATGCTTTTTCATTTTATGTCTTTAAGTGAACACTTATGAAATCCACCCTTAACCAGAGTGTTATGAGGACTCTGGTTTGACTGTGAATCTGTGATGTGGCAAAGCGTGGAGGTGCTCCATTGGCACTATGGTCAGTGCTGCCTTTTTGTACTCTGTTGTAAACTGTTTACTTGAGCCTTTCCACCCAAATTGCTTTAATTAATTGCAGTTTAAACTGGAAACAGGAAAATACACCCCACTCCCTATTTAGTCATCATGTGCATACAGTCGCTCTCCCATTCGCTGTCAATGGAATACATTTTAACTTAATTAAATTGCAATCCTCATCTTGAATGATTTGCCTCTGGCTTTGGGAGAGACTGCTTTGTCTCGCCCACTGTTGTTAACCCTTTACAGTATTGTTCGAGTTGAAACTATTAATCAAATAACTAATTTGTTGATATTGATCAGTAATTCATTTAGGCCAACTTTTGTAGAAAAAAATGCCAAACATTCACTGTCCCCAGCCTCTAAAATCTGAATATTGCTGTTTTTCTAAGCTGTGATAATAAATGGAGTTTTGGACTGAAATAAGAAGATGTCAATTTGGGCTCTGGGAAATTGTGTTAGGCATTTTATCAATTAATCAAGAAACTGATATGCAGATTAACTGACAATAAGAATAATCATAAGTTGCCGAGTTGTTATACAAGTAATCTAAAGCTTAAAGAATAACAACTCAACTATGAAAATGTTAATTTGTAGGAATGAATAGTTTTTTAATTATAGTGTAAAGATGAACTACAAATGCCTTATTAAGAGTATTTACTCTGCTTTCCCCACATCTATCAGTCAGATTTCTAAACAAATACACACCCTCATACATAACATAAAAAATAATGAGAGGTAACTTAGGGTGAGTTACCGCTCATTATTTTTATGTAATGTATAAACATTTACACATGCATACATATTGGAAAGTCTACAGTGAAACTGTATAAATGTTGTGTAAACACTGCACAAACCTGCCCTAACCCTTCCATGCTACAAGCCCTCATACACATCCACACACACGTTTAAATGCAATCTTTGATGAGCTACTGTAACGGATCACATTTGGAAATAGCGTTGAATTGTCTCCTGTTCCAATTTAAAAAACAGAGCCATGAAAAAAGCAATGATCCTCTTTTAGGTTGTTGTACTTGTGTGTGGCGAGCACCTTTTAACGCATGTCTTTTTGCATAAAGACAGTTGTCTTATTTCTAAGGAACTCTGCATTTGGGCTTAAAAAAAAAAAGCTGCTGTAAAATGTGTACTGCTACATGGTTTGCATTCTGACTGCTGGGACCTGTAAATCTAAGGGCTTTCCCCTTTTGTACTCTGTCCTCATTCTCTCCTCCACCACTCATTCCACCCAGGGCTGTAAAATCATGTTTGCAGGCAGTGTGACTGCCCTTTCATCCTGTGAAAGGGTGTGTGTGTGTGTGT